TTCATTATTTGCATTTTTTTTGGTGTTTGAGCCCTCTGGGCCACCACATGTTACCCTTTATTAAAACAGAAGAAAGGATTCCCATGAAACAGAGGTCAACTTCAGAAGATGTTTTTTTTCCACCAGCATGAATCTTTGCTCTTGTTTTATATCATCAAAATTGTGACCTTGTGTGAGAACTATTCTCGTGTGAAAATTTAATGTCAACTTACCTTCATTTGCTGAATTTCCTCTTTAATTCAACTATTCACTTTTCCCAACCAACTGATTTTCTTTGAAAAAGCATCATGCTTATTTACCAAAGAACGAAGCTATCATACCCTGAAATATCAACTGATGGTGAAATTTCATATTTTAGTATATATATTGCTAGGTGATTCCCAAATTCTCCTTGAATGTATAATATTTGTATTCCTTATTAACTGTCAACACTTGAAACCCCACATCACCCCTTAACCACCAAATATCCATGAACAGGATACTAAGAATGGATAAAGATACTTTTTAGAATGATACAATTTTAGTAAAATTAAATGACTCAAGGGAAAATCACATCAATGCATCATGCATCTCAAATTAGAGGGTATAAAAGTGAATACTAAATTTCATTTAAATACTTTTGGAGATGTTTTGATGATTCAGGGCAATCTATGATTGTTATCTTTTGCAGCTGAAGTGACACAGATGTGGAAGACATTAACAAATGCCTTGGCTATGAGAACCAGTGAAATTGATATGATTAATCCAATGTTAAGGTAAATGAACCACCAAATGTACTTTTAAAGGAAATTTGCAATTTATTCATGGTATTACGGTGTGTGGTTCACATTCATTACGACTTCAACACGGACAAAGTGTGTAATTCATTAAGTATTCCGGTTTTAATTGACACATGCGCAACAAGGCGCTAGAATTACCGAGAGATACTGGACACCACTTAGTATCCTAGTGACTGATTGCAGATTCATCAAAACAAGTTGACCGGTGTTCTCAATCGCAAACCTGTTGTGATCGCCTAAGCATAAGGCACAGTTAACGAAAAATGAGATATCGCTTCCAAAAACTGTTGGCTTCAAAGCTGAAGCAGTCGATGATGAAGGGGTTTGGTGTGCGTGCACTGTTAAAGAAGTGAATGATAATTTCGCAATCATGTCCTTTGACGGCTGGAATGCGGAGTGGAATCACTGCGTCTTTCATCCACGAGAGATCACGGATTAAACATTTAGTTCATTTCTTTATGTTCGGCTACAAGAACAAAATGGAATTGTGCTCTAAATCAAGACAAACGGTACAAGATATCGAAATAAAAAAGACCTGTAAATAAGCACCCCTTACCTACATAAATTTCCCTTCGATAAACAATGTCTTTACTTTAGGAAGACTGACTTTTAGTTCTAAATAGCACTTTTTGTAAACAAAAAGCTCAAATTACGGTTCGCTTTCATTTCAGGCGTGAATTTGCATAATCTTTCATGGACGAAATCTTTATGAGTTTCAAGGATCAAAACCATTTACTAAACTGCTCGTTGAACTGTAACATGCTGCCACTTAGCAAACAAAGCTTTCCAGATTTAACGTAGTTCGCTTCAAATTTCTCAATCTATCCTTAGTTTCTCTGATTGCATCCAAACTGGTTTTACCACAGCTTCCATCAAAGACTCCCAGTGAAACGTGACGTATTAAAATACGTCATGCGTTACTAGGTAACAGAGCTCATACATATGCATGAACCCCACTTGAGTGGGGTTTACAGAATTACACACTCTTTCCATGCTGAAGTCATCATGATATTTTCCATGGTAATTCTGCTCTTCATATCTGATGGCTGCGGTATTTCTAAACCAGAGGTGGAGAAAATATTTTCACCATTGTTCCCTCTCTGCTCCTCAGTGCAGAAAATGTTTCAGTATAGACCAGCAGCTAAACAACAAAAGAATCAAGTATCCTTGGATTGTTTGTATTAACCATAGCATCCATGCTAGTATACGTTCAGGAACCCCAAAAATGCAAGAAAAAAAGACTGTTAACTTGTTTCAAAATTTATGTACTTCTCCACTCAAGGTCACTGGTAATCTGTTACTTTTTTAACCTGTATCCTGTCAGAGCCTGACTTTTTATAAGATAATTCTTTTTGTAATTGCTAAAATTGCTGCTCACCTGTGAGAGCCAGGGCTTTACTTAATTTTCAGCCGGAGATCAAATGAAAATTAAAGATTTAAAAACTAAAAATTGTAATCAGATTCCTTTACAGGAATCTAAGATTTACCATCACTCACAGTGTGTGTCTCTGCATCTCTGCTAGAAGTAGTGCCCAACTAGTATCTGTAAGGCATGGGTTTGACTTCTGTCAAGGCCAAGATCTTTCCAAGCTCCTTTTCTGCAATTGTTTAAATTGCAGATCACCTGCAAAGATCGTTGTTTATTTTAATTTTCATCAAGATTTGCTGGACAAATAAAATTTATTTGTATCCTACATGGCACCCCATATGCTTTCAATTGTGCTCTGTATGGACATAGTACAGCTTATAGGATACAAAACATTTTCCAAATGGATTTCTTGTTTATGGAATCACATTGCTGATTTCTTTAGAATATGCTCTTACAGACTTACCATTGCTGTAATTTAACTGTTCACATTTACAACAATTAAGTACTAGGAAGTTCAATTTGAACTACACATTTATTTGATGAAATCCTTTACAAATTTAGTAATGAAAAAAAAAGACTGACTTTAAAATTTATCACCAGAGAGGAGGTTATAACAGACACCTTCGATTTCACAAGTGAATCATTCCGCTTGGAGCTTGAAGTACATTCTGTAGCACTGATAGGATTGGTAAGAAATACTTAACCCATGAGACTGACTAACATCTAATTTCTCCTTAAAATACAACCCTTGAATCAAACATTATGGTCAGGAGAATAAAGAAAATTATCACCAATTAAGTAAAGAAGCTCTGACTTGATTGTTAAACAAATTCTCCTTGTCAGCACCATAGGGAATATGTAGAGAATTGTATGGAGAATATGCGTACTGATATGAGGGGGTAAAGAGTTTATGTATAACCAAACATTTGATAAGAGAACGCGAAAACAGTTTCTAGACTTACTTTGCCTCCCTGCAGAGTCTATATTTGTCGTAAAGTTCGTTTGCAGCATGCGACATAGACGCTTCCTGAATCAAATAACACTTTTTTGGAGGACAAATCCATTCTTAAATCCAACTGCATATAGGTTTTAAGTCATTGGTGCTACGTGCTGTTATAAATATTCTTTTCACAGGAAGGTTATTTTGTTATAAATGCAGACGGCCACCCGTCGCCTTCAGTAACGCCTCCCTTACCTGTCAGACGGGTCAGTCCCAGTCCTCCCAGTCTACCTGGAACTCCCGTGCAACTCGGAAGCCCTGGGTGGCTTCCAGAGTGGAGGCCTTCGTCGGGATCAGATAATGAACAAAGCCCAATTGCAGCAAGGGAAGGCAGTAACAAGATAGAAGAAGTTGATAACGTTCGGGTGCGGATGGATGAAATGATTAAGGTAAGTATAATATTCCCACAGCTTTAGACAAATTAATTTTATTTTGCCTACCTTTTGGATACACAAATTGTTTCAAATGTGGTTTCGAACTGATGGTACATGTAGCTTACTCAAACAGAACATTCAGAGTTAGATTTCAAAACATTGTTGGTGCCACGCTTGAAGGAAGGTATCAATGGGGTGAAACGTTAGCCGTAAAACGGCAAAAAAAAGAAAAGAAAAACCTAGACGTTTTTGGATAATTGACAAATTCTAACCGGTAGCTCTGAAAATAAGTTAACCATCAATATTTTTATTGTAAACGTAGCGGAAAGAAGTTCCTGATAGCTGTAAAATGGCCAAACTTTTATCGTTCGCCGTAAAAACCAATCAACCCATTGAGATTTACATGTAGGCCATGCACGTCAAACGCCAACGTGCGTGGGTTGGGGGGAAGGGGGCACAATAAGGGTATTCAAAGGGACAAGTAACACACCCAGTCGCTCCATATTATGGAACGGCAATGATTCCATATGGATAGGCCACTTAGCTCGAGTACAGGTTTAACTTTGTCCAATCTGTGCCACAAAGCTTTCCTACTTGTAATTTAAACAGATTCCAGATGAAATCGACATAACCAGGGAAGAACCTTTCCCAGGCATTTACACCACTGAAGCACCCCCATTCCAGCAATTTCCAAAAGGATGTGAAAAGAAGAGCGAAAAAAAGGATCGTTCACCGCAGCCAAGGGATAAAGAGCCGAAAGATCAGCAACCAAGGGAGAAGTAAGTGAAACGTTAGCATGGTTTGTTTCATCTGATAGTCTCCTTTTTTGCCATCAACGACTCCTTTTAGAAAGGATGAAATGTTGAATCAGTGATAAGAGTCTCTTGTAGTCTAAAGCTGAATAGCAGTTCGACTCTTATCATACCCCAGGAGGCTACAATGAGCGGAAAAAGTCTTGATATGGTTTGGGGAGGGGGGAGGATTTCAAGTAACTCATAAGATTTCTGTTTAACATATAAGATTTCTGTTTATTATGTTGAGTGGAGGGTTTGCGACCATCTAATAAAGGGAGGCGTGCTAAGATCTCTAGCCACTCATTGTAGCATATTGCATCAGACTCTGAATCGGAAGGCCGCACCTTAGCCTTTGCAAAGACTATCGTATGCTTCTCTTTTCTATATACATGTAGGAATAGAAATAGGCGGCTTGTCAGGGAACTTGCTGGGATGTAAGTTGTAACACAAAAAAGGGAAGAGACAAAATAGCTTTATACGTTTAAACCATCTCTCTTTTTCTGCCCTGACGTCAGTTTATGAATGAACTCATGGAAAGACTCCACGTTGATCGAGCAAAGTGCGGATTTTCTTGTGCCCTTAGAACGCATAACCACGCAAAGTGTGCCTTGTTTTTCAAAGCAAGGATAAGACGCAGGTCTATTCCAGATTTAATGCCGTCGCAATTCTCGATTATTAACATTTTAGTACAACAATTAGTTAGATTCCACAGAAGAAGAATTTGAAAAAGACATATGACCGCAAAACACTATTTTTTAATTCTTGAGGCTTGTTGCAAGCAAATGATCAACTCTCTGTTTTCTCTTCCATCAGACCTCCAACACCACCTCTTCGCTCCCCTCCCCCCTCCCCTCCCCCCACTGGAGATCCGTTAGATGATGAGCCGTCCGCAGCCGAGGTGCTTATTGTGAATCAAGAGACAGGACAATTATTCCCAGCACTTGACGGTAAGAACAGTGCTTTTCGTAAACAAAAATGGTCTCATGGGAATTTTGGGAGTAAACGAGAAGGTGAGGCCTATTTGTCAATCTAAGGGACTAATTCACAATTGACATTGTTAATCGATTTGGAAACCGTTCTGGACGATGCTGGACGGGAGTGAAGGCTTTTTGTGAAAAATTCCCAGAGCAGGGTTCTTACAAGTAGGAAAAGATTGTTCTTTTCTGTTTAACTTGTTTTGTCTATTCTATATGTGTTAAATTTTTGACACCTTACGAAATTGGTTCTGAAATGTGCCTCGGCATTTCGAAAACGCATTGAACTGACAGTTTTTCTTTGCGTTATTTTTTTGCTCTCCTCAAGAGTTTACCAATGAGTCTCAAGTTCAACTAAACGAACCAAGTTTGCTGGCTTGCGTCAAAACATTAAAAGGGACGATGATCTCTTTGTTCATTCTCCCCTCTAATTGCTGCACATTTCGTTGTAAATAAGTTACTTTGGTATTAGATTAAGATAGTGACTTCTAACTAAGAGATTATAGACTTAATAATCTCTTGCTTCGAACTGATAAGTTTGAGTATTCTTTGTACCTATTTGTCGGGTAATGTATCGATGTTTTTGGGAGAAGTTACCCGTCAATCACTTTTGGGAGTTAAAGAGCGAAGGAAGGAATGGTCATTATTTGTTGAGACTATGACATCAATAATAAGCGGATGAATATGTTTTTTGATCACACCAAGGAAAATAAAACATTATCTCACCCCTAATGATTGGTGCTTCAAGAGAACTTTTCACCTGATAATATGATGTATTTGTCAACAGGATCTGACAGTGAACTGGAGCTGGCTCCCACGACTATATCAGAGCCTTACGAGGTACGCGTCAATGGAATGCCATAGGTTTTACATATCTTTCAATAGTGGATGAATAAAAACACCAAATATTGGATGCAATGAAGATCTCCTGGTCACAATCTGGTTCCCTAACGCAAGCAGGCAACTTAAAGTGAAAAATGTAAAACTTGTTTGACAAATTTAAGAGATCGTAATAGTCGCGAAACTGTAAACCACCCTCTCAACTTATTAGTCTACCCTTTATAGGTCAATCTACCTGTAAACGAAACTAAATCTGATTATAAGTTTCCCCCTCCCCTCGATAGAAGCTCCCCTTCAAACATTTCAAACAGCATTTTCTCTTTCAGTTACAAGCCCCCAAGGATAGAAGCTCCTTCGTTTATAAGCCCCTCTAAAACCCCTTATGACGTTGTACAAGCCCAGGGGTATGAAAAGCAGTTTACGTGATGTCAGTGAGATGACAGTTTTGCCAAAAAGTGCTTTTACCCAGATGCCTTAGGTTGTAAGAACAAGACAATTTCTATCGAAACTTTCACAAACAGACGCAAAAACGGATGTATGGGCCTCGACTTACATGAATCTGTAGTATAAATTCCCAAAGAATGTAACCGCTTCAGTAACACAGAACCTCTGAGTGTCCGTAATGTGAAGTTCAACTATGTTTAAGCAACAAGTTCGGACTTCAGTCTAACCCAGGAATTTTTTTAACAGGATCCTGTCGCCAGGGGAATTTTTTAGTTACCCCTGGGGTGCCTATCGAGACTGCTTCCTCCCTACCCATAACGTGGACTCTAACTGACTATGTTTAACCAACAAGTTCGGAATTTTAACCCTAGGAATTTCTTATCAGGATCCTGTTGCCAGGGGATTAGTTACCCCTAGGGTTCCTATCGAGACCGCTACTCCCTCCCCACCCAGGAAAAGGAGGAGACTGGTGGTGGACCGCAGCACGCAGATTGACCAAGATGTGATCAGACATAACGTGGCTACCGGTGGAAGAGAAACCTTGTGTGAACGAGTAAGAAGTAAACTTTGTCCGACGAAGGGCGAACGCTCGAAACGTCAGCTTTTGTAATTGTTACGGTGGCCAATTTACCATTTCTACTTTGTTGATATATCCAAATTATTTTGTCTGTGAATGATCAGTTGAAAAACTTAGTTTATTTTCCGGACTTACTATACTGCCCATCCTATCACAATCAGTTTAAACAAACAATGATGTTCTAGTTCCACTAAGAGGGGCCTGAACGGCAGAATTCCACCTCCTGCCCTTCTCTCCCCCAACCCTCACCAACGTAATGTGAGTTTTCATCCCGCCAGCCCTGATAATGCACACATATTTATCTCGCTTAGCTCTCGCAACAATTAAGTGCTGTGTCCTTTGTAACTCACTTACCGCTTAAAACTGTTTAAAATGCCTAAACAGTTTCAATAATCCCTCTGGGAGGGACAGAGTATGGCGACTTTCTAGAATAGACAGCGTTGACGATTTTGGCCTATTCACCGATCTTATTTCAGGAACTTGAGGAGCATCCAATACTCTCTGCAAAGGACCTGTTCATAGCGCCAGTAACAGAAGGTCTGTTGATAGGTTGAAACTCCTCTAGTGACAAGAGGGTTTTAAAGGGGTTGACTGTTAGCCGTAAAACAGCCAAAACATTCAGACGTTAGGCGTAAGAATTGTCAAATTTTAACCGTTAGCCGTAACAAAATTGAATGATAAAAATATTCCTATCCTTTATGTTATTTTGGGTTAACAGTTACACGAGAAATGGCCAAAACTGATGATCGTAAAAATCCTAGTGAGACCCTCTGATTGTCCTTGCACTCTACCTGTGTGCTAAGGGCATGAGAAATGTTTGATATGTCTTTGTAAAAACACTTATCCTAAGAAACGTAACGATCTTAAGTTTCTTGAAATGAACAGTTTTGTTTAAATTTTGAGACAGGTGGGGTGACTTGTCTCGGTACTGGTAAGCGGGAAAGGGACCGAAGGGGAGGATAAGGGATAAATATGGGATTAACTAGCATCCCCTCAAGGTGAGGGAGTCGACAGCGCTCTACTAGGTTCTTCATACATAGACTAGAAAACGCATCAGTATTATGGTTGCATGATATAATTTTTCTGATTGTACCTGCCGTGCTTTATCTAATATATAATATTTATATAGTATTTTCCGCGCTTGACTGCTTGACAGAATGCGTGGCAATCAGCCTACTCGCTGAGTGCAATAGAAACCAGGGATGTTTTTCTCTTATATTTTCAGCCCTGATGAGTAACCCCTTTATTGTCTTATGGAAAAGAAATGCTGTCACTACTTCTGAAGAGTACCATTCAAGCGAGTCTGACGTCTCAGAACAGATCAGCCTGTTGCCTTCCATTACCGAAAGCTTTGAGGTAGGTTCCTGGGCGGATTTAGTTGTAAACAGGTGTCAAAAACTGATCTTCACTCTTTTATGTCGTAAAGTAAAGTGCAGTCCTTTCCAGTCAGGTTTAGTATTTTAATTTTCAGAACTCTAAGTTTGTTTAAAAATATGAATAATTTTATGGAATTTGAATGGATACAATTTCGAAAAAGGTTTTGTTTGTGCGTGTGTGTACTTGTGTTTTTCTTAACGTCACTCTAAGTATATCGCATTTTTTTCTGTTAGGTTCCAAGAGACATGGAAACCCCATCTGAAAAAGAGATTCTCCGAGAAGATCCTAATGCTGAACAATCTGGATTGCTTGAACGTTCAGAGGCTAGCACCATCGGGTTTACGCCAGATACGCAAAGTTAGTTTCCTCTTCTTTGCATAAAGTATGATGTGACACGCGCTTTTTGAAGTGTTCAAATAGACGGTATTTTTCACTGTTAGTTTTTGAACCTTAAATCTTGTAGATGGCAAAATAAGAACCGGGGAATTTTCTAGTGGCGCCGATCAAGACATGGAACCTCCAGAAATGGAACCAACTGCACCACTGCGAAGGTATGAATCATCTCTAACTGAAGAAGTTACTTTTCATCAAGAAAAGGATCCATCCCTATCGCTAGTTTTTACTCACTTCCTGTATTTTCAGACCCTCTTCTTTACTTCGCTCCTCCATGACTGGACTTTTGTCTCCCATTCACGAGCCGTCCGATTTCGACGAATACATGGAAGATATCGGTAAGAAAAGAGTAGTTATGCTCTATTCAATCATTCAAAATATCCCTCAAACAAAATTGCATCAGTGTGCTTTCGATTGATTTCAATGAACAGGAGATCTTCCAACTCTTATGGAGCAATCTGAAGTCACGCAGTCCCTCGAGGAGCAGACAAGTGAAACTTGGAGGTATGTTGAATATATTGAAACTATGGAGCAACACTGGTTAACGCCACGGTCAAACGTACTTGGCATGCGCACTCCAGTCAGATGTGGTCAGCCGCGCGCCAATTTCCCGCGCAAAAGGTTACAAGATAATTGCAACGAAAGACTGCCCTCACGCAAAACGAAAATAAGTTGAAATGTTCTCAGAAATATGCAAAAAGCAACAAAAGAGGGGGAAAGGAAAGATTGGTACTTTTTTCGCCCGAAGTTAATCAAATTTAATTGAACTTTATCAATAAAGATCTAGGCTTTTATAACATGGCGGCTTACTGGTTTGTGTGGTTTTCACACACCATTTCGGGCTGGCTCTTTCAGTAATGTTTGCATATCTGCAGACGTTAGACTGCTGTGTCACAACAGCTTAAACTTGTCTTACTTCGCTTTCTTGTATTGACCAAGGTCGGCTTTTTTCAAATATTAATGTAGACATGTGTAAAGACTTGCTTTTCTACAAGATTGATTATATGCTTCGCCTCTCCCTTTCCGCGTGAAACCAAAAGCCATTGGGAATGGTACCGAGTCCAATCTCATCCGACATGATCTCGTGACTACCGACGGCTAGTGACGGTGAAATGTTAACAGACCTGATTTTCACACTTTTTAAGTTTAACCATTTTCTTACATTCAAATTGGGGGGGGGTATTTTAAAGTCAAAACTCAACCAATTACTAGTTTATTGCTTGTTATTCAACAAATATTGTTCACAGTTGATGATTTATTTTGTACATATCTGGTACGCTGTATGATTAATTGTTTTATTCTCTTTTTTTTTCCTACTTGTAGGATAGTAAACGGAGCCATGAGACTCAGCGACGGCCCAGTTTTGTTCAAGAATTTATGTCCTCCACAATCAACAGAGCGAAAAACTGCAGCTAGAGTTTTCTATCATCTCCTCGGTTAGTATTGAACCATTGGAACTAAGCTTACAACCGTGTTTTTTTTAAAAGGTCTCAGTGGTTTCCGTCAAACATCGAAGTGCGATATCTAGTGTACGCTTCCTTTATGAGGGCCCATTCTCGCGACAAGACGAATAACATCTTTCAAATGGTTTTGTCGATGGTCAATTGGTGTAAACGCATCACGTGACTGAAAAAGCCTCAATTAAAAGTGGGGAAATGTGGTGATATTCCTGAAGTGGTACTTCCCAACGTCTTCCCGTAAATTGGTTAACGTTTGTTCCGCGCGTTGCAAGAAATATGTAAGGGATTATGAACTCAATAGCCTTCATTTAGCCTGAGAATTTCCTCAAATGTTTTCCTTGAACGTCTTCTTCTTCTTTGACTTACGCGGATGAGTATCCGTGCATATTTTCGCACCAAATCGAGGCCATTTTTTAACCTTCGCATCGGCACTCGGCTGCGAACAGACTGCCAGAACATTTCTTTTACATTACTGGCAACCTAATTCATTCTTTACTCTTCTCTATTGACTTTGTTTTTGTCACTTTTCAGCATTACACAAGAATGGAATATTTGAACTAAAACAGAGAGATCCTTACAATATGACGAATATCTACATTGAAAAGGGTACAAATTATTAAACACACTCCAAGCAGGGCTGGCGTTTTTTTGTTTTTTTTTTTGTTTTTTTTTTGTTTGTTTGTTTGTTTGTTTGTTTTTTTACATCAAAAGAGGAGATTCCGATATCGCTTTCGGTAACTTATAGTTTTAATATCATATTTTTTAACTTTCATCTTGAAACACCGTGAGAGTTACTTTATCAGCTCTAAACTTTCACAAAGGTAAATCAAAGTTCTATGGCTTCACTGTCACTCTGATTTGCAGGTGTTTAGGGTCTACTTCGTTAAAGTTAGGTTTCGATATCATCTTCTCGATCACCTTAGTTGAAGAGTTTTTATGAACGATCCAGGCCCCGGCTATGTTATGGAAACCAGTCGTACACGCAAACTCGTTTGGCTTTTTCTTCTGCATTAGAGCAGTTTTCATTTGAATGTGGAAAGTAATTCGAAATTACATTGGTTTTCCTTTACTTCGCTCTGTGATTGGTTCAGAAAACTCGCACCTCTCTCGACCAATCAGATGCAGAACTAAAACCAATCACGGCTTGGTTGTTTTTATTTTGAGTTCTCATTGGCCCTTAAAGGTGTTTTCCTTTCTTCTGATCGGCAGTTGCTTTACGACGCCTAATAGAAAAGCGTTCTAACGTCTCAATTGCTTGAGCATTACATGGGACGCGACGATCCGGAAGTTCCAAGAGATCATTAAGTAACCAGGTTTAAGATCACAGAACTTTGTCCGAAAAACAAAATTGTTAAATATTACAAAAAATTTGCTATTACCTTAAAAAAAAACCCTAAATATTGGACTATGTCTTTCAGTTTCACTTCACATCGTAAAATTCGTCCTATGCTGAGTATAATGAAAAGTATAATCAGTTCTTCGGCTGATAAGTACGGAAAGGTTCAGCAGTTTTCCAAGGGTCAATCCTTGATCCAAGAACTTGAATTTCCAAAAATTGATTAACGAGAACAAGACGGTAAACGTTTTAGTGAGGCGAAACTCGTCGTTCGAACTCGCTAAACCCAATGTTTAGCTAAGGGGTCAAAAGTTTTACATGAGCCAGTTTTGGTCTGATGAAGTTGGTGCATGTTAAATTCAGCAAGCCTCGTGATAAACAAGGCGAAACAAATATTGGGAAGCGGGTGGCCATTGCTATTTTCAATCCTGAACAGTATATTTGTAGGATTATTTACAGTATTCCTTCAACCTTAAAAGAAACTGTTGTTTTTACTAAAAGTGAAGTAAATTAGACGAAAGCTTCATTTTTAAATATTCATTATGGAAAAGAGATGCTAAATCATCCTCTTGAAGATTATTAGTGTTGTAATTTACATTTTTATCAAGAGGTGAACTTATTTTATAGAATGCAGTTTATTTGCTATTTCGTCGTCCAGATTTGTACATCAGTGCTGTAGGCTAAAAATTATTAATTTATTCCAAATGTTTTTTACAGATAAGGATTTTGAAGGGACTTGGACAATTTTACATTCACAAGTCTGAAGTAATATTTGATAAAGCTGAATATTAGTCAGCTTAAATCGGCTTTACAGTTGCGTAAATTATTTGTCATAATGCTTGCGTTTCATTGAATTAGGCATGCTTACATTCAAGTCGCAAATAACTGTACATTTTTTAAATATTTTTGGATTCCTTACAGGCGTATTTTATATATTATTGCACTATATTTAAAAAAAATTGAAAGCATTATATTAGCAAATTTCGTGCAACGTGCCCTAAATAAAGATACAATTTGTGTTTCCGTAGTCTTATATTCTATTTGCAACTTTTTACATAGCTTTGGGAAAATCTACCTTTCTCAGGCAATGAGAATATATTTTGGATGCTATCACGCGCGCGCATTCGAGGTTCTGGAGTAAACTTTCCACAGAGTAAGTCCGTGATTTTTCCTGATGTTTCTACAGCATGGAACGGACTGAGATCATAAAATGTGTGATCACCAAAATGACAGAGACTTGAAACGGAGGTGCTGGCCAACTATTGCTCACAGTGTAAGATCCTGTGTTTGCTGGGGTGGGCGGTGCTGTTATAATGGAAGGTGAAGTTGTTCCGTCGACAGCTATACAAGGGAAATTATACAGCTCGATAAGTGCAAGAAAAATCGAGCCATGAAGCAACAATAGATGTTTCGTTTGGGTTAAGCTCAACTATTTGCTCGTTTGTGAATATTAAAAAGAACTTTGTGCGGGTTGGCAGAACCTGTGCAAGACCAATACCGTCTTTAGGGTATTAAACCTTACAAAATAGGGACTCCGGAACTACGGTCAACTGCCTTACTTATTATACATGGGAATCCCTTTAGCAAGAGCTTAAGGTTAAGAGGAGGAAAAAGGCCTTCAGACCAACTCGCAATACAAATCAGCCTTAACATTTCTTTGCACTTAAATTGCAATGTGAATTTTATACGTCATACCTTTACTTGAACATTGTTGCAGTTTCTTTTCGTGATACAACATTTAATACGGAAAGGGGGGAAGGAGTATTGCAGCGAGCTGCAGTTAATCAAAATCTAATTCTAATCACTTCCTTAATAGTGGATTGACAGGAAACTTAGTCAATTTACGCAAAAGGGAATTTTATCTCCGCTTATAAACACTAACGCAAACGATAGGCTGCTCACCAGGAATCGTTAAGACATTTTTAGGAAGCAGTTTTGAGGGAGGGAGCAGGAACGGGGAACCCCTCTCCAACCCCCTCCTTCTGACCCCGCAGGAGGAGGGGATCCCAGGGTGAGAAAAAGTGGTAAATCATAATTATAATAAAACAGCCTATGGTCCTAAAATACCACGCAGACTTCAGTGTGACGCTCCCCTCACCACTTCCCTGGAATCGATGGAGTGTCTCGCGTACTAACCTCGGGGTACGGCGACATCTCTAACCCGAATGATGTAAGGTTTACGAATTCCGTGTATTCCGGGATGTACCTCACATTGAAATTCTAATCCGTGGTCATCGGGCGTGACATTTGTCAGGATGACCGACAATCCATCTGTCTTCAGCCTTCTTAGATATTCCGGGCAGGATCTCGTGCAATTGATCAACACACACGAGACTCTAGATGGACTGCAGTACACGATTTTTTCCTTTCTGCCACCCTGAAGGATCCTGTACCATGTTATGTCTTCAACGCCTTTCTTTGAAAATTTGCGATGAATCGGACGGCTCAGGTCGATGCTTTTCCCAACAGTCGCGGATAAGCCTTTAGAGGGAAAATGATGCGTAGATTAGCTTAAGCTTATGATAAAGTAAATCCCGAGGCCCCAAGGTAAATCCTTGAGCCCTGAGGTAGCTCCGCACTGTGGTGGAGAAATTTGAATGAACAGAGGGCCCTGGCGAAATCGTAACTTCCCCCCCCCTGACCTATGGAGAGAGAATTTTTTGTAGAATAAACAGTGCATAATGACGTATATTTCAATTCAGATGTCACGGTGAAAGCGCACTTGTGAAGAATCTGCATGACATAAAATCTTTAAAAATAATGAAAACTCCTTTTGCAGAAACACGAGCCTGCTGATTCACAATAAAGAGCAGAGGCACAGGCCACTTGGCGTAAGGCACGCGGCTGCAACCTGTTTGTTTCATTTCCTTCGTTTGGAGGTATGTCAGTAAGTGATTTTTTACATTTTGAACATGATCTCTATCGCAGACACACTGTCAGTGTTGATCCTGAATTTGTTAGCTAAGACTGAATTATCAATTCATTAAGTACAAAATACTTCAAAGTTTGGAAAAAGTCGCTCACAATGTTTAATTGTAATGCTATGGGTGCATTCAAGCCTTTTCCACTGCCACATTCTTTTAATTTCTTGACTGCCCCTAGTTTTTGCGTTCATCAAATATTTCTGAAAAGGATTTTAAATCACTCCTGCAACTGCAAACCAAGGGAAAGGGAATGCACGCCTCTTATATAATTTTATTATTTGAATATTCAGAAATAGATAATTCACTAGATAGGTAGGGTTTTTTCACTCACAATTTGCTGAAGATCTGACCATGATGGTGTAATCACACGAAGGCTTGTTTTCTTTCTGTATCACCCGGCAGGTGTAAGAAAGCTTATCGTTGAGCTTCTTTTGCTTTATGTAAAGTACACCCTGCACGGTAGCTACTGTCTCAGTTCTCTGCTGATAACCCCCTGTTATGTTATACTTGTGGCATTTAAAATCTTCGTTGCAATATACGAGCTTTTGTTTGTCCTGGCCTTGCTCTTCCGGATCTTTAACAGTCCAGATCAGCTCTTTGTAAGAGTTTTCCTGGATAATACCAGCAAGTTGAGGATTACTGAGCGGGATCTCCTCGTTTATGCACTCTCTTCGAATGTCGATACCCACAGCACCTAAAAGGGAGGAACAGGAAAGGCAATGTTTATCATGGTTAGCAGTTAAAGTAGTTCATACGGATTGAAATTTTGATCTGAAATGAAAAGTCTTAGAGAAGACAACTTCCATTTTGACATGTTACCCCCACAGGTGGAGGGTAAGTATTTACCAAAGCTTTCTGAACGGGGTGGGATCATCAATGACTAGACAAGAGACTTATTGCAGAGGAGATTGTTGGTTTCGCTTTCGTATAGCTTCACTTAATTAATCAATCCCTGGTTTGTAGACAAAACATGTCTCACTGGATTGTAGCTGTGAATATAAAATAGTTTTAATTTTTAACTTCTAATTCCTAAATATCAAAATCATCCGAGATAAGTATCCATTTTTGAGGAGAAAGACTCAACATGGATGGATACCTTCACATTCAGGATAAACCGGTCAAATGCCATTACCCTTCTCGAAACATCTAGTTGACGTTATCAGTGCCTTATCGACGAAGGGGTTTTTCCCTTCGATTCAGTTTAAAAACACAAAACATAAACAATGATGAATGGATATATATGATTTGGCTTTTAGGAATTATCAAAACCGTTACTCAAACGTTAAGGCCATCCACAGGGAAGCATTTTTTGTTTAGCTCCATCAGTTAATTTCACAAGTTCAGTTCTTACTCGGAACGTGGTTCGCTGATCGACAAGAAATACGTTTTGCGTGACTCTACGCTCGGTCTCCCATAGTACGAGATAGTTTCACGTCGTAGGTAAAACCAATAACCTATCGTACAGGGCTAACTTTCAGGATTTTACTTATTTACTTGTTTGGTACAATCCTATTGAGGCAAATCTTCTGTTTTGAAATTTCACTTCGAGAAAAATGAATACAGTTACCTATCACATCTCTTTAACTTGACACGAAAAATGTTTAAACGCTCCATGCCAGGGACCGTAACATCTACAATCGCGATTTAATTCGGCATAACAATTACACAATGTGAGTGACTTTTTCCTAACTTTGAAGTATTTTGTACTTAATGAATTGCTAATTCAGTCTCAGATAACAAATTCAGGATCAACAGACAGTGTGTCTGCGATAGAGATCATGTTCAAAATGTAACAAATCACTTACTGACATACCTCCAAACGAAGGAAATGAAACAAACAGGCTGCAAACTCCAAAAAGAGATGAAAACTTGTAAACAAGAGCGAAAGAACGAAGCCCAACAACGCCAACAGCCATGACAAAGGTTTGTTTAATAATCTTCAAAGCTTCGCAATGGTTTTGCTTTCGTTGGCACAGCATATTTATGACGTTATTGCATCATCTAAGACTTTACTATGTCGTACTGTTTGTAAATAAACAGGGAATCACCCTTGAGATTCCCCGTTTGTTTTGGTGCTTAACGATCAGCGTTAGGTTCCATTCAGCTTCTTATGCTGATACTAAAAACATCCAACGGGCCAAAGACACAGAAATATGATATTAGTTCTTTGACTGCTTTCAATCTTTTCGCCAATCAGTGAATAGTTTTGATCGTCCACGAGCGCTTTAAGAGAGTGTCCACGAGAAAACCAGGCAGAACCGGTTTTCTCGGTCATGACGAGCTTTGCTCAAGAAAAAAATTCTCAGCAGGCAACACGCATTAGAAGAATTCAGAACGGCCGTTAATTTGAAATTCTCGCTGGATTGGTTGCTCGACAAATCATCTTTTGTGGGATTTTTTTCGGTGAACTTAAAGGGAAACTATTTGGCTTTCGTGCTGCCAAGTTTTGATTCGAGGGAAAGTATTTAAGTGTTGTTTTCGATCGATTTTGGCGAGTATGTGTCAACAGAAGTTTCCGACCTTCCCGTATTTTGTGCACGGTGATTTTGGGCGTCAAGCTAAAACACATCAAAACGGCCTCAAATCGCGAAGAGAACAACACAGACTATTCTCTATGAAGGTAAGACCTCATTTCTAAGATTATCTCACACAACTTTACATTTACGGAGCTCAAAAGCAAGTCCAACTAGACCACTATACAAACTCTATGCCTATGACAGAGCCTATGACAGAGCTTGGGTCACCTGTGGTTGAGCCATTTATGAGGACTTTTTTCGCAGCCATATTTGGATTATTCTCGAGAAAACGCAGCAGCTGATGATGAACATCAAGAGCGCATGTAGTCGAAATTTCTCACAGAAGAAATCTAGGAAGAAACTTGATAGTACATGCATGTCTCTGTGGTGCCTCAGTTGCAAGATTTGGCTTGATATAACTTGTTAGTAAGTAGCATTATGTCAACAATGTACCAGATTCGATTTGCTTCGTTGCCTTGTTGAAATATTAAACGCAGACAGAGCTCTTGGAAAGATCCACCAAAATGATTGGTCTTTTACGGCGTGAGACTTGTCGACTTACGTGGCAGGTGTCAGTGGCAAAAAGATAATTTGATGCCCTAAAAGCTGATGTTACACAAAAGGACAATCCGCCATCTTTGATCAGATCGCGCCTGCAGTTTTGTCCAGCGGTCAACTTTGACATTCATTTGGCATGTTGTGTTTCTAGTCTACAAAATTTAAAATGTAACAAAGATTAACGGCTAACAAAATATTTGACTTGTTAATTTTTAAGCTTGAGATAGTTGCTGGTTCATCCAAAAGCAAATAAGCCGAAGAAAACCTCCTTCGTGTACAGACGCTTCTTCTTTTCTTAGTGACTCGAATAGGCCAGACACTATGTTTCCCTGAACTCCTTTAAGTCCGAAAATGTTAAAATGCACAGTTGGCAAAGCAATTGATAAAAGAAACTGTGCACCATGGACGTCGGCATGCATTTCAAGATTTTCGGAGTGTCAGACTCAGCGAGGTTGTCAGATTAAGGTGAATACATGACAGCAGGATTTTGCGACACCAATTCTCGGTTATTTGCAAACATCCCAGGAATAAAGTGATGGGAAAGGAAACTAGAATCTTCTCTTTCACATTTCGTGGATCCTCGTGTTTTCGGAAACGTCTCTGAGGTTGTCAAGGGGCAAACATAGCAAGTTACTACAAGAAAGATTATGGCGAAAGGTTGTTTAGATAACCAAATACAAGAAAGCGACTTTGAAGAGACATAATCGCTTTTTTTCCGCCGTTTTTGCCGTTTCTTCAGGAATGGATTTAAGGAAAATGTAAGTTTTTGTTTGCGTTTATTTACGCAACACGCCTCACATCTTTTTAACCACTCAACTTTGGATGGTAATATCTAGACAACCAATCAGAATATCGAAAAAGCCTGACATACTTTTGCTGATTGATGCCTTGTTATTGTGAAGACATTAGGGACTTTAAGAAACCACGACGGCGACGCCAAGGAAGACTTTGATTAAAAAATGAATTTCTACTCTTAGTTAGATTTTAAAAAATGGCTGTAGGAGCTTACTGTCTCATACAGCGCCACAGCTCAACTTCAGCATGACGTATAAAGTAGCCTTTGAGTTCCAAATGGAATTAAAATAATTTGCCGTCGCGGTTTCGGTTCGCAGACGACGCAAATTTTGGCGATTTCACGTTGTTAGGGACCTTAAGCAGTCAGGAGAGCAATGCCAAGGAAGACTTCGATNGGATTTAAGGAAAATGTAAGTTTTTGTTTGCGTTTATTTACGCAACACGCCTCACATATTTTTAACCACTCAACTTTGGATGGTAATATCTAGACAACCAATCAGAATATCGAAAAAGCCTGACATACTTTTGCTGATTGATGCCTTGTTATTGTGAAGACATTAGGGACTTTAAGAAACCACGACGGCGACGCCAAGGAAGACTTTGATTAAAAAATGAATTTCTACTCTTAGTTAGATTTTAAAAAATGGCTGTAGGAGCTTACTGTCTCATACAGCGCCACAGCTCAACTTCAGCATGACGTATAAAGTAGCCTTTGAGTTCCAAATGGAATTAAAATAATTTGCCGTCGCGGTTTCGGTTCGCAGACGACGCAAATTTTGGCGATTTCACGTTGTTGTTTTGCATAGGACGGCTAAGAAATGTACAAAGTTTCAAAATGCGCGTGCTGAGCTATTGTTCTGCCAATTACATCTCCTGGTTTTCTACGTCCTCGTTGTCGTCGCCTCGTGGTTGCTTAAGGTCCCTGCTGTTTTGCATAGGACGGCCAAGAAATGTACAAAGTTTCAAAACGCACGTGCTGAACTATTGTTCTGCCAATTAGATCTCTTGTTTTTCCACGTCCTCGTTGCCGTCGCCGTCGTGGTTTCTTAAGGTCCCTATTTTGCTTGTGCTGCGGCATCCGATACCCGATAAATTCAATAGAAGAACCCTCGATCGATTCACTTCTTACCGCCTCCTGACATTTTCTAAAAGGAAAACTCGCTTAAATCATATTTTCATCGTAGTTTGCATTTATTAAGCTTTCTTCTGAGTATAGTTTACAAGGATTTAATAAAAGTTGCAAGCGTAAAAATTTTTTCCGAAGGACACCCGCAATGGTGGGAAGTAACCTTAAGTCTTGGATAGGATATTCGACCACAGAAAGTCGGCGGTAGTGTGACTAGCACTGTGGCATTCAAGTCTGATAGATATCTTCTTTCAAACTGATCACATTATCATTTTTAACTGAATTGAATAACTTTGACAATGATGCATCCTTGTCCTTTACTAAAAATAAACATCACTGATTTACAAACACATACAATGTTGTGAAGGTGTAGTCTGATCGTCCGGGTGAGTGTAGTCCTGAGAAGGACTGTTGTCGGTGGTAGTGACTGACGTTTAGACAACCCAAGTGATTGATTGTTGTCAGTAGAATGTTCTTATTCCAGTTCGTTTGAAATGATCGGTTGGTTTTGCCGTGATGTTATTGGCTGTTAGACTCAAGTGACGTAAGTCGGTCGTGATTGGTCTGTTTCGATCTGTCGGTAAAGTTAGGTCGTTCTTTTTCGGTTGTTTGTGATGTTTATGTCGTGAATGAGTCCTTTGTATCGGGCGGGTAGTTGTTGACATCTGTCTAGGGGAGTCTGTTCTAAGTTAGTAAACCAGCTTTCCAGAGTCAGTCGTTGAAAATAGTCAGTGCTGCAGGTTAGGCATTGCGCAGAGTCCCAGTCAATGTTGTGGTTGGTAAGTCGATGGTGTTCAGCATTGTGATTGCTGACATCACCTTTCCTCGTCGCCCGTCTGTGTTCAATCAGTCTTGTGAGGTTTCTGCCAGTCTCACCGATGTAGGAGGCTTCGCAGTCGAAACATTTGATCTTATAAATCGTTCCCTGTCTGTTCCTCGGTTCGTCTTTGTCTTTAACGTTGGTTAGTAACTGACGTAGTGTGGTGATGGGTTTGTGAGCGACGCGGATATTGAAGGGTAGTAAGATGCCCTAAACAGATGTCAACAACTACCCGCCCCAAACAAAGGACTCATTCACGACCTAAACATCACAAACGACCGAAAAAGAACGACCTAACTTTACCGACAGATCGAAACAGACCAATCACGACCGACTTACGTCACTTGAGTCTTACAGCCAATAACATCACGGCAAAACTAACCGATCATTTCACACGAACTGGATTAAGAACATTCTACTGACAACAATCAATCACTTGACTCTGATTATGACTTCCGCACAGGTTGCCGAAACGTCAGTCACTACCACCGACAACAGTCCACCTCAGGACTACACTCACCCGGACGATCAGACTACACCTTCAAATGTTACCCCCGGGTTCAAGCCATTTACTACATACAATGTTGGAAGGTTGCTAAGGGATTAGTAGATCTCGTGGTAAACTAGTTCCCCTAGTTCCTTCGTCTTCGTGATCAACGAAGAATATATTATGCACTCTGAGGCCAGATATGATATGACAATACACCGCACGAGATTACATACCAAAAGTATGCAGTAAACCTCGGATAGTAAGTGATTTCTATATACGTGTCAGTTTTTTTACTATTTTCTTTTTTTTTCCTGTGCTGATAGGAGACCAATATATCACCGGCTTATTTGCTTTTGGGTGAACTAGCAACTATCTCAAGCTTAAAAAATGACAAGTCAAATATTTTGTTAGCCGTTAATCTTTGTTACATTTTGAACTTTGTAGACTAGAAACACAACATGCCAAATGAATGTCAAAGTTGACCACTGGACAAAACTGCAGGCGCGATCTGATCAAAGACGGCGGATTGTCCTTTTGAGTAACATCGGCTTTTAGGGCATCAAATTATCTTTTTGCCACCGACACATGTCACGTAAGTCGACAACTATCACGCCGTAAAAGACCAATCATTTTGGTGGATCTTTCCGAGAGCTCTGTCTGCGTTTAATATTTCAACAAGGCAACGAAGCAAATCGAATCTATTACATTGTTGCATAATGGCTACTTATCTAACAAATGACATCAAGCCAAAAGTTGCAACTGAGGCACCACAGAGACATGCATGTACTTTCAAGTTTCTTCCTAGATTTCTTTTGTCAGAAATTTCGACTACATCCGCCCTTGATGTTAATCATCAAGTGCTGCGTTTCCTCGAGAATCATCCAAATATTGCTGGGAAAAAAAGTTTTCAAAAATGGCTCAGTTTGCGTTATTCAAATATTCTCTCCTCGTTCATGTTTAAACGATACTCTCTAGGAAATTTCTTGTAAATTTCAAGTTATTTTAAGTTAATAAAACAAAGATGTGGTGTGCGGAATTTTGATGATATAGACTAAAAAGCGGGAGGTAGATGTAAATTGCACGTCAGCACGGGCTATGAAATAAATTGCCCAAAAATTGTATTACTTACTTTGGAAGTCCAGTGATGGCTTTCACTGTCCATATAGGAATAATGATCAGAAGTGGTTTCTCATCGGAGATATTGGGCCCTAAAACACCCTTATATTTGGACTTTGTCAAAACCAGAAAAAGTCGTCTTTACTGAAGCGAGAGGTAAGAAAAGAAAAGAAATGACAAAGTTAAAACAATTCAATTTTCTAGAAGTCTGATAGATATAAAATGCAACCCAGCTGATTGAATTTGAACACGGATCTTCAGTTTGTCGCAGCAGCGATGCAAAGTTAGCAAATTAATTATGCAAAAAATTGCGAGAAATGTGGTTTTTCCTAGGAGGACCCTACATCTCCCAGAGAATTAAATATTTTGACCTATCATTTTAACACAGTTGTTAACTCATGATACTTTTGTGCTATGCAAGTTTGAGTCAAATCGATGATTTGAGTTTTATCGCCCCCTGCCCGGTTTTCGCCTGGACACACTCTTACACGCTCTTAAAATGTGTAATCTGTTTTCAAGTGAATCTAATGGTGCAATCAGTAGACTAAAACAAAGTCAAGTCATTGCATCTCGCTGGTCATTGTGTTGTGACCTTAGGCAAAACACTTTATTTTCACAGAGCCTCTCCCCCCCCTCCCCCACCCACCCGAGACTTATTACAGAGGAGACCATTGGTTTTACTTTCGTATAGCTTCACTTAATAATTAATCCCTGGTTTGTAGACAAGACATGTTTCATTGGATTGTACCTGTGAAGATCAAATACCTTTAAATTTTTAACTTCTAATTCCTAAATATCAAAAGCATTTGAGACAAGCATCCATTTTGGAAGAGAAGACTCAATATTGATGGATACCTTTAAGTTCAGAATTTGCTGATTAAATGGCGTTATCCATCTGGAAACACCTAGATGAAGTTATAAGTTCTTACCCGGGACATCGTTCTCAGACAAGAAATACGATTCGCGTGACTCGGCTCGTTCTTCTTTACCATGCTACAGTATCACGTCCGAAATAAACTCAATATGCTATTGTACAGGCCTAACTTTCGGGATTTTACTTGTTTGATGCAATCCTATAGAGGTGAATCTTCTGTTTTGAAGTTTCACTCCTAGAAAAATGAATACAGTTACGTATCTCATCTATGTTAAGAAAACATAAAATACCGAAAACACAAAAAATATTTAAACCCCCTAGGGAACGTAACATCTGCAATCGCGATTTAATTTGGCATCATGTAGGCAACCTCTTCCTCACTTTCAAATATTTTGTTCTGGGTGAATTGCTGATTTTATCTCAGGTTAATAAATTCATGATCGACGGCCAGTGTGTCTGCGCTGAAGATCATGTTAAATATGTAACGAATCACATATTGGCATACCTCCAAACGAAGGAAATGTAACAAATAGGTTGTAGACTCCAAAAAGAAATAAAAACTTGTAAACAAGATGGAAAGATCGTAGCCCAAGAACGCTAACAGCCATGCCCAAAGGTTTGTTCAATAACCTTCAAAGCTTCGCAATGCTTTATAGACATCATTACATCATCTCTATTTTGAGACTGTTTAAATTATGCTATAGAAATATTTTTAAACAAACAGGGAATCACCCGCGAGATTGCTCGTTTGAATTGGTGCCATAGCTTATTGAGAAGGCTTTTAAACGATCAACAGTTAGTAATAATGGCTATCAACTGATTGTCATCGCAGCTTTTGACATAGCTTCTCAAGCTGATGGCATTAAAATTTGAGTCGAGTAATGGAGAATCTGGAATTGAAATTACCAATGTGTGTAATTAAGAGAATATCAGGTTATGATCTCTTGGTGTACTCAACATGATTTGTCCATGTAAAATCAGATGATATAAAAATTCCAAGGTTTTTGAAGCTGTAGACATTATTTACATTGTGGTCGAAGATTGATAGAGACAGAGCTATTTTGCTTTCCAATTTCCTGTTACTACCTAAAAGCATGCATTTAGTTTTTTCAAGGTTCAAAGTAAGCTTGTAAGCATTTAACCAATTAGCTACGGCCAACAAGTCGCAATTTAGCTAAGGTATACACCGGGTCGCTTCATGTTCGAAAACCAAAACAAGCTCCGACAAGCTCGAGACTTTATCTATCTCCGATAAGATCTATTTTGTCATTGTAACTAGAGAATATTTAAGTGACAGACTCAAAATAGGAAAATGTCTCTGCGGTTCATTTAATACGCACGTTTACAAATCAAGAATTATTATCAAGAATTATTCCCGACCACTTGAGACAATTAACGAGCTTACATTTCTCACAATGCAACCATAAAACTAACAGTTAAAAAAGCAATTGAAGAGTTCACGTTTGGCTGGTTCCGACGTATAAGTTTAAATAATTATTTTCTACTTTGATTATTTTTTTGAATCGATCATCTGCTAATGATCGTGACTTTCGGTATACATTAAATCATTCTCTAGGAAACTGTGCAGATCAGCTTTCTGTGTGACAAACTTTCAAATAAAAGGTATTCAAAAAAAAAAGGACTCTGTTTACCCTCCCTACCTCTCTGGGAATCTTTTCAAACTTCGTTTCTCGCAGAATTCAATCAAGCAAATTGTCTATGTCGTACAGGTAGTTTGTCTCTGGGTCAATTATGAGTCACAGCCGGAAAAACAAGCTTGTTATTGTGAAATCACTGACTAGCTGAGACCAAGCGCACCTGAATTTATACCTTCCCCCACTTGTTTTAGGTACACATAGTGGGTGCACTCCTCCGCGGAACGTTATTTACTCACAGGACAATCGGTTAATTCCACGTTAAAACAGAAAATTCTTCGACGCAGTTAAAGAAACGGTAGTCACAATAATGATGTTCACGATAATGAGGAAGTAAACAAAGTTTACTGAAACGAAGCGATGAGACGTTATCAGGTCTTGGAGATGAAACGTTGCGTAGCGAGGCGGTTAAAGGCGGGGGGAGTAAACGACGTTGTGATGAATAAAACGGCGTAAAAATGGTATAAAGCCATTTCGAAAACTAGGCTGTAAATACATCGAAAAACTATGATTAAAAGACGAATAAACCACGGTAAACTTAGAAACAAACTCTGGACTCCTTATAAACGATGTAAAAGGTTTAAAAATCGTTACGGTGGCCAATTTATCATTTCAACTTTGTTGATATATCCAAATTAAAAGGTTTAAAGAGTTACTCAGTCTATATCCGTGTTAGGGATTTTAAAGCGTTGACATTTTACTTTAGATGCTTGATGTTAACAAACTGAAAGTTTTCCTAAACACGTGCGATTTACTAAACTAAGTAGTACAAAGAACTACGGAGAAGAGCAAAGGATAATTACTTCGAGTGAGAACGGTCCAAAGGATATTAACTTCGATTGTACCATTAATAGTGCTTGAGGAAATATATCGGTTGTTTGGGCCACACGAAATCGGAAATATCCATATCTGAAGGAGCTCCGAAAGATACGAAACGCAAAACAAAATCACGAACGGAAACACAAAACCGAAATACCATCTGGCTAGAACACTTGTCGGGAAATCTGCGTTCATAATGCTTCACTATACATTTTAAAATGATCAAAGACCGTTAATTCATGGTTGTGTTATTTAGAGGGGCGTTGCACAAACTTCGAATTCTCTCCAGAGGCATCCCCCTCCGTATGCAGATACGACACTTCCTCAGATGTGTACGACCCAATCACGAATTCCAAAACAAAGAAAAATACGAAACTTACCATAAGAAAAGACAAACAATGCTTGAAGTATGAATACTTTCTGTGATAGCGTTTGGCGGAATCGGTGCATCTTCTGGATATTTAGTACTCCTTTCATAAAGCGATTGTAAGCTTCAAATGACGCACATTATGTATAATCATATATATGTATCAACAAAACTTTGGAGCGGAAGATCGAAGAGGGGTTTCACCAATCTAATTCTCCCTTCCCTTTCGATTTCGGAATCTCGAACTTTTCCCCCGATATTCTAGTTGACTTTCTATATTAGCTAACCTTATAGCTAATTGCATTTAAAACATCAAGAGGTAAAATAAATTTGGACTCGCCGGTTTAGGCAAGAGAGCCATGGATTCTGCTATTCTTTATTCTCTGAATAGAGCCTTTTTTGTAAATTGGGGTCACATACAGATTTTGTTTCATGATAATCCCATAGTCTCGAAGGTTTTCAATCAATCAATCAATCAATACTTTATTTACCCTCGTAGCGTCAAGGAGCTCATAGAGCTCGTTCAAAATACGTACGTTCCATCCTTAAGATCGCAATGGCTGGAACTTTTTACTCAACAATTTTTTCAAATAAAGCTTCGATTGCAGCCTCTCGGTTTCTCTTTCAGTTTCACAAGTCATACTATACATGCTTTGTTGTTTTAATAAACTAATATTAAGCAAGAGTAAATATTTTAACAAAAGCATTTGGATTGCAGGCCACTTTCGGTGAGTGACGATAAACATGTTCTCTTGTTTCAATGAACTGTTACAGCTTGATTAATAATTGTATTTATTCATAAGCATCTGTACCGCTTAACTTGTTTGCCAACATTACTTCTACCTTTCGATTCGAAGGGATTTTCTTCCGAAGTAAGTTATCTCAAATGCTGGACTAACGAGACCAACAAAGGAAACCAAATTAAAATCGTTATGTCTTTGAGCATAATGATTCCCGTTTGTGATATTTTATCAGTAATATAGACTAAAAACTAAAAGCCAGTCATGCGGTTAAGACAATTACAGAGAGAAAAAAAAAAAATTTAAGAAATAAAGGTAAGACAAATATTTATAAAAGCTCGTTAAAACTGTTCGCTTTTAATCCTAATTAGTATGAAGTCATGGCCCCTATCTACGAGATGCTGCTATTATGTTTAGTTGGAAGCCACCTATAAATGCATTACCAGTGTCCTCGATTATTCTATCAAACAGAGCACTGTTCCTGTTCATTGTTACATCAAACATAGAAACGATCCTATTTGTATAACCGAGGCCATGGCTGGTCTGAGAAAGGTGTCAACTTGATCCAAATGCCTGCCTTGAAAGGCTGAAAGGCAGATCCCAAAAGTTCTAATCCATAAAGAAATATTTTACATCATCATTATGCAAAACCTGATCACAGGTTAACATATTTTAAGTTTTAGCTTTATGCCTCAAAAAGAAGAATAAAGTGCTCTTCTGGCAAGCAGTCTTAGACACTGAATATCCAAAATTCGTCTTTATATGGCCGGCTACATGCAAGTAATAGTTCGTAAGCGAAGAAGCTGCGCGAGGTTTGTGTTTGTAGCTGAATCGTGGCACGCAACAAAATTAAATACTTATTGGGACAGCAGTTCTATTATGTAATAACATCTTTGTCATCAAAAGAACTCAATTTCCCGGGTGATGGAAAGGCTGGTTTGTGGACCCTTCGATCTGTGGTGGGTATTCCTCGACAACACCTTGTGTCTTTGCAAGATGAAACCTTTTATCAGATCTGTCCAACAATCGACTGAGTCGAAGTGGAATGTTGCAGTAAATTCACTCCTCCATACATGTACTATCCAGGAAAAGTAAAAATTTTCGATATCAAGCACAGAAATAGAAGTGTTCTAGTCACTTTTAAGTTCTCTGGTGCGACGTTATCGGGGATGGTAGGTGGCTGTTTTGTCCCTTTGCTTGCATCGTCCTGTAAAGACCCTCCTGTGATTTCTTCTGGGGTTCTGATTGTTGTTCCTGTGGTAAAAAAGTAGAAAATCAAGCTCAACATTTCCATTGTGCTGTGATTTTAGACAATGGTCGTATATTTTCTTCTTATTCAATATTTCACTTTCATACAGATATTAGAATTCATAAAACTTTTTAATTACCTCCCAGATTTCATCATCACGTAATTACAGCACTCACAATTGACACAAAGGGAATAGAAGAAAGTAGCGGGAACATGTCCCCCAATAGGACTGAAACACTTGTGGAGAAGAGACACGCGCATGCACACGCACCTAGCCTGTTCCCAAATGTCAAGTGTGTGTCCCCCCCCCCCTTCCCTACGACTAAACCCGAAATCGCGTGCGTCTTCTGCACTAACCTTCTTGAGGTTCCGCAACCTCTCTGATCTTAATGCTGTAAGCTCGATGCGGCCCGTGGATTCCAGGATATAACTCGCATTGGAATTCTAAACCACGGTCATTAGGTGTAACATTCGTCAGGATGACTGACAATCCATCTGTCTTCAGCCTTGTTAAATATTCCGGGCAAGATCTTACGCAACTGATTAACACGCACGAGGCTCTAGATGGACTGCAGTGCACAATTTTTTCCTTTCTACCGCCTTGAAGGATCCTGTACCATGTTATGTCTTCCACGCCTTTCTTTGAAAATTTCCCATGAATCACACGGCTAAGGTCGATGCTTTCCCCAACAGTTGAGGACAAGCCTTAAAGAGAAATTATAGAGAGATAAGCTCATAATACTGTAAATTCTCAACGTGAGCCCTTTCCGTCTACATTGTGGCGGAATAATTTGAAAAGAAAAGCAAATCACTTTCTGCGGTAGGGACCATCTTCTAAACTTATCTCGATAAATTGTTCGATATGAAGGATACTTCTCAAAGACGCACTACCAGAGGGGGTGTGGCATGGGGGTCCTGGTGAGTTCGTGACTTCCCCATACCCTCTGTGAGTTATGTTTTAGTTAAGCCAAGAGTACGCGATAACCTACAAATCTTACAAGAGAATCCCCTTATGAATCTTCTAATTACGGTTCACGAAAACGCCTCATCTACATGGTATAACTCTGTTACCGTACTCCTAGTCTATCCCCTTGCCAAAACACAAGCTCGCCGATTCAAAGGTGCAAGCCAATTCCCGTTTAGCACCCTGCTGCGCAGGAATTCGTAACTGTGACCCGCACACCACCCCCCGTCCTATTGAAACATGTCAGCTTCGCCCTAAGCTAAAGCGGATTTTATTAACGCTTGCTATACAAGGAATGGGGCTCTTTGCCGCGAGAGGGGCTTCGTGGGAGCGATATAAAATAAAAGCGCTTCAAAACCGAGTTAAATTACCGCAACTGCAAGATGCAAGGCTGATATCTAACTATGTTTTGCAACATTTAGAAATAGATGATTCACATTGTGCGTTGAATAACTCACAATTTGCTGAAGATGTGACTGTAATCGCGTAATCACGCGGAGCCTTGTTTCCTTTCTGTATAACGCGGCATGTGTAAGTAAGTTTATCGTTGAATTTCTTCTGTTTAATGTAAAGTACACCCTGCGCGACAGTTGTTGTCTCAATTCTCTGCTGATAATCACCAGTGATGTTATACTTGTAGCATTTAAAATCTTTGTTACAATACGAGAGCTTTTGTTCGTACTGAGCTCGCTGCTGTGGGTCCCTAGCTGTCCAGGTCAGCTCTTCGTAGGCGTTTTGTCGGATAACATCAGCAAGATGAGGATTTCTGAGTGCGATCTCGTCGTTTATGCATTCTCTTCGAATGTCGGTACCCACGGCACCTAAAAAAAAGGGGAACAAAAAAGGCATTGTTTATCTTGGGTGATAGGTATGGTTCCACCACTGAGGAGGGGGAGAGGAGGGATCGGATAATTTGGTTGTGTCACAATAAAATTTACCTGATTCCCTTCATTGACGGTCAATTTTCTACGACTCTGCTAGCGGTGACTGTTCCCAATATTACATTTACTATAGGTTCCCGATATTACATTTACTGTTTTTTATACCATTTTTGACTGCTTTTACCTTTTTGATATTTATAATTTAGTTTATATCTTAGGGGAGGGCCACAAGTTTACCAGTTCTTATTTATTTAGAGAAAAGAATTAACTCAGAAGGAAAGGAGTTTTCACTCATCAGAGCTGCCGGCCGACCTGGGGGGGGGGGGGCATATTGAAGTGAAGACAAAGCCTATTTAGGCAGGGGAGGGCTTTCTAAGGAAAATTGATGACGGCCAAAACGTCAGTTATCATTTTCCTTTGGCATAGTTGCCTAAAGTTTACGTTTGACGTATACGATATAAATCTCTGTGGATGAATCCTCACGATATTGAAAACGAAAACGAATGGGGGTTTTCAGAAACAGCTGTATGCGGACATTTTGTAATGCAACACAATCAAGCCAAACCGAACTTCAACTTCAATTGATAGATTTTGATTAGGAAGGGGAAAGTTTGTAAGACTGGGGAGCTTATTATCAAATATCAAACTCGAGAAGATACAAACCGAGGGTTGATTGAAGAAGCTAGGGGAGGTTATTGAAGTGTTCAAGGCTTTTGATTTCACATAGCCATGGTATATGGACAAAAAAAGCATGCAGCTGTGAACGTAAATTACCTTTTAAATTCAAATTCCAAACTCTAGGTCACTAAAAGTGTTTCAGAAATGCATCTACTTGTAAAAGGCAGACTCAATTGAAATGCATACAGTGCTCAGAATGATACAGATCAGATGTCTCTGCCAATCTGATCCCAGGTGGTTGTTGGAGGGGTTTTTCCCACCTTATTTAAATACCAAAATAGAAAATGACTAATTAATGATGAATGGCTATCAATGATTCTACTTTTAAGACGTATTTAAAAAGTTATTCGAAAAAAGGCCACACGTAGAAGAGTATCTTTTCTTTAGCTCCATTAGTTTCCTAAACTCATTTCTTGCAATTGCCCGGGATCTCTTTATCTTACAAAGGATACGGTTACGGTTCGCGTCGTCATACATTCAAGCTCACTGATTGTGAGCAAATACTTTCACTTTTGAGTTGGAAACGAAATCGATATCCTGTTGTACAGGGCTAACCATCAGGATTTATGTGTTTGGTACAATGTTATTGAAGCGAATTTGGTAGTATGAAATTTCATTCACGTATCTCTGTTAAGTAGAACTCGAAAAATGTTAAACCCTCTAGGGAACGTAAAAATCTGCAATTGCGATAATTCTGCATTAGAGTAAATCATTTTAAACCAACCTTTCCTCTGTCGAAGATATTTTGCACTTTTTGAATTGCTTTTTTAACCTTAACATATTCATAACGGCCGCTAACTTTTACGGTAAGGGAGTCGGCGGGGAAGATCATGTTAAAAATGAACAAATCACTTCTTGACATACCTCCAAACGAAGGAAATGAAACGAACATGCTGCATACTCCAAAAAGAGATAAAAACGTGCAAACACGGTTAAAAGATCGTTGCCCAACAACGTCAACAGCCATGGCTAAATGTTTGTTCAATAACCTTCGATGCTTCGCAATGGTTTTAGTTACGTTAGCAGAGCATATTTATAGACATCATTACATCATCCGCTATATTTTGAGACCGACTGTCATTACTATATGCTGTGAAATTGTTTGTAAACAAACAGGGAATCACCCCACTGATGAACGTAAGTTTGGTAGGTGCGTTTTTTACACGATGATCGATTTACAATTAAAAGAAAGAAGTACAAGTACAGTCCCCCTTCTGATAATAAATCAAAACATTTCTGAGCAAAGAATTTGAGGGTGCTCTGCCAATACGCATTTCAGCAACTGAGGAGAATTCGAAACGGGAAACATAAGCCAAAGAATTTAGTGACTCTGATAAATTCGCTGACAGAAAGAATTCCTCTGTAAATGACAAAGAATTTATTTTCGATCAGGTTCTTGGTGTTCATTGCGGTTTGCGGATTTTTCGATTTTTCGCATTTGGTTTTCGGTTCTCGTCAAAAATACGAGCGGGTTTTTGGATCTGGAATACGACTTGGTTTTCTGTCTTTCCTTTGTGGGTTCTGGTTTCTCTTCGATCTGAGCGGCAATTATATTATGCCTCTCCACGGATCTCGAATAGTGACGAAACCTTTGTATGCTACACTCTTCACCACTGTACCGAATCGATTAGGGTTTTGATAACTGAGATGTGAAAAAGTATCGGTTTTGACGGTTTTGCATGCGGTTTTCGGTGTTGATCGAGTTTTTTTCGCAGTTTTGCATTGCGGTTTTGGACGATTTAACCACGGTTTTTCGGTTTCTAATAGACCCCAATGCCCCCCTCCTTTTAATTAATACCAAACAAAACATTACCAAAGATGAATGGCTATCAATAACTATGGAGTCAAATATGTGACAAAATTCATCTAACAAAATGTGTCAAATCTGTTACTTAAACTTGGTATTCAAAATGTCGAAGTAATCAAATCGATAGTCATCTCCGTCAAACAAACTGTCAAATCCGTTAATCGAAGTTCCAAAGTAATCAAATGCAAACTCAATGTCATCAAACGTATGCGGACTCTCGGAAGCAGGAACCCATCGTACGAAAACCCATCCTACGAAAACCCATTGAACGAAAACCCATCGTACGAAAACCCATCGTACAAAATCCCATCGTACGAAAACTCATTGAACCAAAACCCATTGAAGAAAAATTCATTACATGATACGAAATTTGAGCTAGCGTGTTTGGGCTGGGTGTTACGAAAACGAAGACCCTCGAAAACGAAGACCTAAGACCTAAGACCTAAGACCCGGTCTTCGTTTTCGTACTACGAAAATGAAGACCCTGTAAACAGAACGATGGGTTCCTGCTTCCGAGAGTCCGCATACGTTTGATGACATTGAGTTTGCATTTGATTACTTTGGAACTTCGATTAACGGATTTGACAGTTTGTTTGACGGAGATGACCATCGATTGGATTACTTCGACATTTTGAATACCAAGTTTGAGCAACAGATTTGACACATTTTGTTAGATGAATTTTGTCACATATTTGACTCCATAAATAACAGTACTCAACTTTTAAGAAGTCAAAAACGTTATTCAAAAACAAAGGCTATCGACAGTAGAGTATGTTTTGTTTAGTTCCATCAGTTTCATGAGTTCGTTTCTTGCCCGGGATATCGTCCTCTTTCAAAGCCTGCGTAGCGGCCCTAGAGGGAGGGGGGAAGGGGGTGGGGAGCCGAGCGGAGAGAGGCTTGGGGAGAGGAAAGGAAGGGCCTGCTATGAGAGGCCCGTATTCCGCATAACTACATTCATCTCGTGAACGTAAAATTCCCATTGGTCAATCGCCTGTCAATCGAACCGATACCGTAATTTCTGAAGTTTGTACAAGCAAACTGAATGGCCGGTTCAACTTAAAAATGAACAAAAACTTGCAGTGGAATCCCTTCTTGAACGCAAGGATGTACTCGCAGGCTAACTTTGATGAGAATACGTTGAAAAACATCCTAGAACAACGCAGAATCAATCTGAAAAACGAACAGCGCCAAGCTTTGGAAGAGCTCCACGTCAAAAAGAAGGATCTTGTAGGTATTTTTGCGACTGGGTCTGGCCGGAAAAAGTTTAATTTTCCAAGCTCTAGTGTTGCTTGCACGCTTCGGGGCCAAAGACGATAAACGGCCCGTTGTGTTGGTTATAACTCCACTTACAAGCATCATACAAGATCAAATACTCGAACTTGAATCTCTTGGTTTATAAAAAAAATTTGCATCCGTTTGAACGGCTTCGGTCATCCGTTCGTCGAAATCACCAGCCCGTTCGAACGGCTTGGTAATAGTAATAGTAACAGTAATAGTAATCAAAGTTTAATGTCTTTACGTGGGGCATGGTTATCCATATTTCCCGTGCCAGAGGCTCATGTATGAAACGCAAGACAACAACCCACCCATCCCACCCCAGGGGAGGACATCCATCGCACAGTAATCTCGTTCGTGGGAAATTAACGTCTCCTACCCCTAACCCTGCAGGAGACGGGACTTCCATTTATTCGTCCCTATCCGAGAAGAATAAAATATCTAAACCGTTTCTTGATGTTATGGAAAGGCAACATATTTTTCTCAATTATTTTAAGACCTTGAGCGATGGTCTGGCCGGGGCTCGAACCCTCGACCTCCCGCACAGCAGTCCAGTCCACATCATCCATTGAGCTAACCGGGAAGCGGTCATCGATCCGCTCGTTGAAAACATTAACCCGTTCGAGCAGCTTGGTCATCCGTTTGTTGAAAAACATCAGTCCGTTCGAACGACTTGGACTATTTTCCGTCGAACGACTTGTATCATCCGTTTGGAAGGTTCATACTAGTAACGCCACCCGTTTATTGAAAATAAATTCTTGCGTTCGAGCTGCATCAGTCATCTGTGCTCATGTTTACAAGATTTTGTCCAACTTCATTCGCTCGACTTCTCAACCGAAGATGGACATGAAGCCCTTTCCAAGAGTTCATATAACACGTAAAAAGTGTTCACTTGTCGAGCACAGGTAAGGCAAACAGTTTGGGAAAGATTTGGCTGTTTTGCGAAGTAAAAGCCAAGACCTCGAAGGCGGTCCGCGATAACATATTGGAATTCTCCTCTCAGACTTGCTTTAAATATTTTAAATAAAGCTTTCGAACCCAGTTCCTAACTAGATTCTTAAGTTATCTCCACAAAAGCGGCAAATTGACGGAATATCTATATTAGGCTTTCTACCCTCTTGGGTTTTTCTTTGAAATTTTCCTTGTCGTCCGACATTTTAATCCACGTGCAGCAGTGTTTTGACAGTTTGCATGGGTCAGTGCTCTGCTATTTTTAGTATTTTCCCTTCTTCACTGGCGTACGTCTTAAAATGGCGCGTCGTGATTGGATAGTTTTGACAGTTGTTGATTGACATTCGAAACACGGTATGCATGATTAATCAGGGGGAGTTATGTGGAATCCGGGCCTCTCATAACAGGCCCTTCCTTTCCTCTCCCCAATCCTCGCTCCGCTCGGCTCCCCACCCCCCTTCCCCCTCCCTCTAGGGCCGCTACGCAGGCTAAAAGTATACGGCTCGCGTCATCCTACACTCTAGCTCCGTTAAGTAAAATCTTAGTGAGCAAATATTGTGGGCAATTGATCGACTTTCAATTTTGAGTCGGAAACGAAATCGATATCCTAATGTCCAGGGCTAACCATCAGGATTTTATATGTTATTGAGGCGAAATTTCATGCAGAGAAAAATGAAAACAGTCACGTATCTCTGTTAAGTAGAACTCGAAAAATGTTAAACCCCCTAGGGAACGTAAAAATCTGCAATTGCGATGATGAAAGTTTAATGAAAGTTTAATGATATATTACAATATTACGAAAAATATGCACTGCCCTCAGTTAGCAAAGGCTAGTCGAGGCGGGCAGTGTTTAATACGTATATTATAAAATAAAAAGATTTACAGAGCAAGAGATTAAAAATTCTAGACAAATTATAACTACATTAATAAATCATTTTAAACCAACCTTTCCTCTGTGGAAGATATTTTGCACTTTGTGAATTGCTGATTTAAACTTAACATATTCATAACGGCCGGTAAATTTTGCGGTTAGAGAGTCGGCGGGGAAGATCATGTTAAAAATGTAACAATCACTTATTGACATACCTCCAAACGAAGGAAATGAAACGAACATGCTGCATACTCCAAAAAGAGATAAAAACGTGCGAACTTGGTTAAAAGATCGTTGCCCAACAACGTCAACAGCCATGGCTAAAGGTTTGTTCAATAATCTCCAATGCTCCGCAATTATTTTATTTACGCCAGCAGATCATAATTATACACATCTTTATATCATCTATATTTTGAGAATCACTACGCTGATATTGTTACCAAAGAATTCAGTGACTCTGATAACACCGCTGACAGATATAATTCCTCTGTAAATGACAGGGAATTTATTTTCGATCAGGCAAGGTAAGTGTTATGGCTGATAAGATCTAGCTTGTTATCGCCATGAAAGAATATTTCAATCACAGACTTAGAAAGGAGAAGTTTCCTTTCCGGTTAAGTAGGGGCTCACAACGTTTACAACTCAAAAAGCAGCCCTCTGTATGCAGATACGACACCTCACCAACCAAGAATTAAATAAAAAAGAAAAATATGAAACCTACCATAAGAAAAGACAAACAATACTTGAAGTGCGAATGCCTTCTGTGGTATAGCGTTTGGCGCAATCTGTGCATCTTCTAGACTTGTGGTGCTCTTTCAATGTTAAGAAAAGATCGGTTGTAAGCTTCAAATAGCTTTTGTCAAGTATGAGATGCATTTTTATTGAAAGTTTGGGACAACGGATCGAAGAGGGCTTTTTCCCTTCACTTTCGATTGACTAACTCTCCTCCCTCCCCCCCGTCCCCCTCGAATAATTCGAACATTCTAGTCACCTTTATTAGAGTGACCCGATTTTTCTCCCGTGTCAACTAATTGCGGCTAAAGAAATGATTAGCTTTGATCAATTTGGACTTCTTTGGCGAAGAGAGCCATAGAATCTGCTTTGTTTGCAGAATAGACCTTTTTTTTTCTTTTTCAAATAGGGTACGAAGAGTTTGTTTTCTTTATAATCCTATTCCCTCGCCGGCGGAAAATGCTCCTTTTTAAAGATCGCAATGGCGAGCCTGAATGTTCACTTTAAAAGCTTCGTCGAAAGTTTCTCAAACAAAGCTTTGATTATAGCTCATAGACTGCTTCTCTTTCAGTTTCATGAGTCACAATACACCTGCTTTGTTGTTTGAATAAACTAACACTTAGCAATATTGTGGAAGGTTTCTTTTTTGTATCTCTTTTAGTTTCATGAGAGATCTACATGCTTTGTTGTATCAATCACTACCTTAAATATTTTTTGAGAAGCAATATACCACTTAATTTGTTTGTCAGCATTACTTCTACACATGACAGCATTATTCCTTTCCTTTCGAAGGGATTTTCCGCAGGAAATAGTTTACGGCACAAGCGAGACCCTACCAAATCGCGATGTATTCGATATTGCATCAGCTCTAGAATATAATCACAGAGTTATTTGAATGAGATGAATGACATCGTGGTGACCCTCGTTTATGAAGCGTAATACTCTTTTGTCCACTAAGTCGCGGAGGCATATATATCTGAGGAAGGAATATCTTGATCGCAGTGTCGGGAGTCTGTTTATCTCAAACTTCGGTAGGTCAAGAAAGAGTATCTCCGGACAGACTGGGCTCTTTCTTGGTGTAGAAGACACAGAACACATCAAATCCTTTGTTTCGCTCGCTCTTTTCTTTTTTTTTTTCTCTATTGTTTTACGTCAACTGTATTTCTACATCAAGTAAGAACCGCAATATTTTATGCAAATTTGGACAAGGATTTATCATTCTATAAAATGGTGACTTAGTTCTATGTTCTGCTACATGACGTTGACTTTGATGTTGGTTGCTTGAAGTAAAGAAAAATATTATAATACTATTTGACTATTGACAAACAACACTTTACTGCTAAAAAGTTAACTGAAATCTATACAGAACAGCTCATACTTTGAAGAGAAAAACATGACGCTCTACAAAATTTATTTATTTGGCTGGCTACGTCACTAATGTTTCGTGAGCGAACAAGCCACATAAGATTTATATTCGTAGAACTTCGTGGCACGAAACAACATGAAATACTTGTTGGGGACGGCAGTTCCACTTTATCCAGTCACTATCGACTATTTCATTTGTAGTAGGTGTTTCTCAGTCACACTTTATATCTTAGAAGGAAGGAACCTTTCATCAGATCTGTTCGACAGTTGATTGAGTCAATGTGAAACTTTTGCAATGAATTCACCGTCCACACGCACTATGTAAGGAAAGTAAAAATTGCCAACACTGAGCACAGAAATAAAAGTGTTTTAATTACTTTTAGGGTTCCTGTTGTGACGTTACGCTGGATGGTAGGTGGCTGTTTTGTCCCGTTGCCTGCATCGGTTGGTGGGCCTGTGGCATAAAAATGTTAAATTGGTTAAACAAGCTCCTCATCAACATGCCGGGGTTAGGGTTAGGAATTCATGAAACTAACTCACTACGCCCAGCGTTTATAGGAAACAGACCGCATTTTCTTTAAAATCTAATGCTGAGGTATAAATATCTATAACAAAGAAAGGGAAATTCTCGTGCCGGGCACGAAAATTTAGAATCACGCCCTAGCTGTTAGATTTGTTCACAAGAAATAACAAGAAATAACAAGAAATAACAACCTATGTTATAAGACGTTTTGCTTGACCTTAAAGGATAACAAAGCCATGACCCGCAAGACAGCATTATCACGAATGAAACGAAAAACCTTCTCACTAAGATGTCTTACCAGGACAAACTACAGGATCGATCTTGAAAATACATTTTCTGAGCGTTTGTTTTCCTGGATCTTTGTGTTCAAAATGAAACATAAAATCTTCCTCAGCATCTTCCTTCTTGATGTTTCTCATGTTTACTGATTTATATCCAGGTTGCAATCTGCCTTTGTACTCTCCACACTCTTCCATACAGGTGCAATTCCCTTTGTCGTCACAGAAAGTGATATCTGATCCACCAAGTTTTTTCAAGAACGCTCCCAAACCATTTGGAGTTTGAAGAAATTGTTGGAAACTCTGACAAGATAAGTAAGCCTTCAGACCAATGCAACTGCGAATACCTGAGAGTCGATATAATTATTTTTAGTAACTATTAAAATAAAATGATGCAGATGATGTTATCAAAGCGCGTAAACTGAATTAAGCTATGTTGTGGTATAATTTCTCATTTGAAGGATACTTTTCAAAAGGTAATATTAACTTCCCAAAAACACAATAATCTTTTGGTCTTACGGCTATGAAGAAGTATTCATTTATTCATCACCTAGTGTCTTACCATACAGATGGAGAGAAACTCCTTTCCCCCAACCCTACTCCCCCCCCTTCCCCTGGAGTAAATGCCGGGTTGGTGTCAGCAATGGCAGACCTAATCACGAAGAAACCTTGAAAATGTATTGTGGACCAGTCAGTATCTATCGCAAGGGAAAGGAGATCGAGGGATCTCGGGGGAGATCACGTAGTTTTCAGAGGGAAGGGAGGAAGATCAATCGTCGCTAACGGAGTATAGAGGGGGGGGGCAAAGAAAATTGACTGCTAGTGAGGGAAATATAATTAGAACACTAGAGAGCCCCATCGGGAGAACAAGTGAATTTTATAAAGACAAAACCAAAATCATCCGAGCCCCCCTCTCACCCGGGCAATGACCGGTCCATCAAGGGAGGGGGGAGAGGACTTCAAGGCATATTGTAAAAATCCAGGCTTTGTAAAGATGACAAGTCTCTTTTTCCCCGCTTCTAGATGAGATCATCGTTTCTCGACTGAAGACAATTCAACTTACATTCAACAGTTGTGATGTCGCTGATATGAGACTCAGTGGACTGGTACTCAGGTACGGTGTGTACATTGCAGTAGAAACGCAGAGACTCATTAAAGTTCAACATCTGGAAGGTCGTTCTCGTGGCGTTTGTCTCCAAGACTTGAACTCTTTTATGCAGTTCATTCTTCGTCACAGTACAGTTGTTTCTGCTGCAGTAAATTTCTAATTCCTTATCAGCGCTTACGTCTTTTACCTTGTATGATATACCTCTCTTTGATTCCACAGGAACCCTTTTTGCAGCGTCACACTCAAACGCTGCATTTTTTGTGGGACAGGTATATTTCTTACTCTCCAGAGTATTGCTGCCTGCTAAGATAAACACATTGAAAATCGAGATGAGAAATTGAGTTCTGGTGATAACGCACCAGTTCGTGAGCAATGATGAACGAAAGTGAAATCAAAGATAAATATCTCAGTTCCCACTTCCGACAGTTAAACTAAGTTCTATATACAAATATGAGAGGCCAGTAGAAATTAAAGTTCAAGCTGTTTAAGTTAGCATTCGTTCTCACAAGAATCAAAGGTTGAAAACCATGTACTTTGTCACGATTATAGCGCGTTTAAGTCAGTCAGTTATGTTATTTGGAGAGAAAAGCATCTGATGATGAAAACAGGGGCCTTAAACACAGCATACACCGTCAGGTTTAAAAGTTACTCATATTTATGTATGACAATGCAACTTCTCGTTTCGAGCTAAGTTATGTCCTACTAGTGGTTTAGTCGTATGCATTCAACCAGTAATTCTTAAGACAATATTTTGAGATTATAGAACTGAAAAATATCACAAGCGAGTTCATTCGTGATTGCTAAATAAATTTTTGAGCTAGCAGTTGAATCGTCTGTCTAAATTCATGATGAAATATTGCCCGACGCTTCCTTCAACATAGTCATCACAAACACCGTTACTTTTTATAAAAAAAAAATTGATTGCGGAATGGAAATTATATATCTTTAAAAGTTTGTCTCTTCGAAAACCAAGAGAATCTTGTAAACTGCTTTTGTTAGGGTTAGCTCTTCGGTTCCCCACAACCAACAGATTTGACGCTTGTGACTACGACGTCCAGCAGTGTGTAGGTGTCTTGTGCTTCATTTACTTTACGGAAAAAGAAACACCATTGTATCAATGATATCAAAATACGTACCAATTATAAAGCATAGAAATGCCACAAGAATGAATAAACTTTGAAACGTTGTATGAAATTTTCAGTTGGCCAAAAACATTATTGGACACACTTCTCAGCGAACGGAGCTCAACTAACTTACCGATTCGAACGGGAAATGTCTCAGGGCAAATTTTCTTTGCAAACATTTATTCTATTTATATATATAATATATATATATATACATACATCTTGCCGTGCTTCATTAATTTCGACTCCGCCTTCCTGCTGTGACGTACTAATGAGAATGCTTAACTTTGAAAACACCATTATGAAGTAGACTCTTGTTTTTCCTTTATATATACATAGATATATATATATATATATATGTATACATATATTATATATTATATT